ATTTGAAGAATCAAATCCTCTGGCAACGCCTGGTACAAATATGCGATAGCGGAATTATCCTTTTTCCGATCGACATCTGTTCCAGGATCAATCGATTCCCAGATTTCGTACGCCTTGAAAATTGCTTTGATCCTAAGCGACCAGATGGGATAATTAGTCGCGGTTAGGATCGGACACTGGAATGGAAGCTTGTTGTTATCCTTGATTACCGCAACCTGGTTGTTGGCATCAGCCATCGTATTGTTCTTAGATCGACGCTTGTACTTCTGCCCTGTCTTCGGATCTGGTAATTGATCCAGCCCTTTTGGATCAGAAGAGTTTCAGGCCCTTTGAACTCAGCTCCGATACCAATTGAAGTTATTGGTACCAGATCTCGATAAACAGAAAACAGAAATCTAGAACAAGAACTTATTGGAAATCCTTCTCCAATTAATTGAAAAACTTTGAATGCATAAAATACAGAGAAACTATCCCTATTTATAGATGAGTTAACCTTGTCCACCAAGTTAAATCATCAGCCTTGCTCTCCAAGCATAACATCTCCTACTCCTACAAGCTATGATAATCTCAAATCCATCTGAGATATATCTCCTAAAATTATGACTGACTCTACCCTAATTATTAACAAATAAAGACTTCAACATGATTACAAAATAAACCCCCTAACTATTACTGAATGTCAAGATTGGTCCAACAAGCACTTTATATATCATCAGTTTCCATCATGAGCTACAGCATTAGTTTCTTTGCCTTGATTGTTAGTAAGAAAACAGGTCAAAAGTATTCTTTAGTCTCTCAAAGATAACACAAAAAATGCAAAGAGATTATACCTTCTTATTTTGAGGGTAATCATCCTTCCAGTTTGGAGGTGGCAAGGTTTTTCGTAGGTTAAACATGTCAACCTGTAAGAGAGAAATAAATATAAAGAAAAGAAAATAAATGCATGGCACACAAAAAACAATGAGTATGAATATGGTGGTAGAGAAATATAAGAGGAAATTACGAGACTTCAAACTTACAGTTCCAGTAAAATAAGTGAGGAATGATAGCATAATCCCATTTTCAAGCACTGACAAGACACTAGCACTAACCATCATGCCTGGAAGTAGAAGATCAATTGAAATTCCCTTGAGGTCTTTAGTCTGCACCCAACATCATCCGTATATTTCAATTTGGGGAATCACTTTTTTAGCTAGCCATAAACTAGCAGGTATTTTGCATCATGCAAGACACGATAGGTGCAACACAGATGGATCTAACCAAAATACACAATACAATGAAAATTAACATACCACATTTTTTACAATTGGGTCATGAGAAGAGCTTAAATAAACCACTTTGCGGGTTCTGTCGATGCTTTTGACAACACCCTCCACAATCTGCCCAGTGTTCACCTTAATTTCCTTGGTTTCTGCCAAGATCAGGAAGATTAATCAAAACACATGTGAGTCAAAATCAGGTATGGTATTCATAAGATACTCCTTAAAATAGAAATACATATGACTAAAAAAAACACATGTAAACGATGTATATAAAATCAGTGCAACTTGAGTTCTACAAATGAAAGAGACAATACAAAACAAAACAAAACAAAAAATTCCATTAAAAGTCCATGTTAAGAACAAATAAAGACTTCTGTCATTTTTTAAAGGAAATAGGTAAAATAGAATTTACTGTTTTTCATACAGAGTGACATGCCTGGAGAAAATGGAATGTGCATTATTTTTTTAACTTACCAATTGAAAATTTTGTAGTTTTCCAAATGTAAATATATACAACTTTTTTATTCATGAATCATGAACAATTGGTGACCATTACAATCATCAATAAGTACCAACACCTACCTACAGTCTTGACTCTTGAGTTACCTCACATGCCAATAACGTGTAGCTTACAAATAACCATGCCATACACTAACTTCTATGAACGAAGAGTGTGCAAAGAGACAAAAAGGACAAGAAACTTACCAGATGAGCTGTTTATATGCATAAAACCAGAAAATGTAGAAAGCCCAAAATGAAGCAAGTATCCATGATCTTCAGTGCTTTTGATGTAAGCACTAAGAACCTGCATATCAAGCATCATGAAGTAAGCTAAACTTAAAAGTAAATGAGTATATCCATCTAAATCGAATAAAGAATATCACTAAGGAACTCAAAAAGTTAAAAGCATAGTTGTTGCCCTAGGAGCAGAAATGTATTTTTTAACAATTCAGGTCGCACATACCATTCCTTCTTGGACAGCATCAAGAGTTAAGTTCTTGTGCAATAAACCAAGACGTAGAGAAAGCCAAATTTTATGCTTCCCTGCATCTTTCTTATCATCATCCAAATGCAACACAACACAAGAAACCAGTTGCCCAACATGAAATAAGCTAGAAAGATGAACGGTCTCCGTCTCAAGCTGTTATACAAATTAAATTTTAGAACAAATGGAATGTGGGCGCACTTTTTTTCTCAATGTAAATATAGCAATCTCTTTGTAGGAAACATAGAAATTGATAATGAGAAAATTATTTTAGTATTTCATAGTTTACTACACTCAGATCTTACAATAAATAAATGCTAGGAGCAATATGACTATATGACCAAGCAAAATGTTTTTAACCAAATACCATAACTTTTGTTTTTGTACTCTGGAATGAAAAATGCTATGACAATACAATGCTACATTATTAACAAGCAGAACAAAATGTATCAACTTTTGAAGTGAGTTTGCGGGGGATGAGGGTCAATTACCTCATTTTCCCCAGTATCATACAAAGGATCATGTGTTTCAGATGCGCGGACTAATCCTCGCAGCCCCCCGGGAAGACTTACAACAATATCTTTCTCATTGATTTCAGCAATTACCGCCCAAAGCTTCATACCGGGAGATATGTTCTGAAAAGTATGTAAAGGGAAAAAGAATGTTTTAACACGAGCAGAGAATAATTCAGTATAAATGGAATGGTAAAACAGGTTAAACAGCATTTGAAAAGAATTAAACAAATTACTAACTCAAAAAAGGATGTGACTGATGTTAAATGTAGTAAATCATATAAGCGAGAGAACTTCATTCCCACTGCGATAGTAATCTCAACCAAATGCTTCCTAAACAAAATACACCTTATTTACTATAATATGGCAAACTGAAATCCCTCAATGCATCAGTATATGCTAGTAGTCATGATAAAAGAAACTAGATTTCAAATATCAATTGGGAGCTTCATCCCACTTTGATGCATTGAACATGCACAATTCATGTGTTTATCTTCTTAATTTGCAGCCATAATTCCACAAACAAATGTTGGCCTTCAATTGTTGAGATTGCTGTTGGGTTGTAGTTTTTGTAGTTGAAATTGCTCATTTTCATTAAATCTCATCATGTATTCTAATTGAATTTGAAAAAGTTAATCCATCTGTGTGGAAACTTTTCTACATTGTGTGGGGAAAATGAATTCAAATTTAGTAAAATAATTCAAACCATCAGAAAAAAAACCAGTTGAAGTGTAACAAACTAAAAACTACTTCAAAAAAAAGTACCTTCCAAGTAATTCTGTTGGCTGATTTTGGTAATTTCCCACTGATACTATACCCGAAAAGAGAACCTACATCCTCTTCCGCTGAAAGGTTCTTCTTCTGAAAATTGTGTTGCTTCTTTTTCTTTTTCAGCAACCTCTCCTCATGCTCAAACTCGGCATCTGCTTCCTCTCGCACTTCATCCATTTCTTTTCGAGTCAACAAGCTTGCTCCACCTTCAAATCCCAACATATAAAAATTAATCCCAAAAAAACACACACCCCCACAAATTGTACGCCCCTGAAATTAACAATTCCAGGCAAAGAACCCTTAAATAAAATATTAAAGCTGACTCTTTGTGTTTATGCTGAAGAAGATACCTCTGGGAAATTCAGGGTCTTCGTCTTCGAACTGGGGATGCTCTGATTTTCCGGAAAATTCGTTTTTTTCTACTTTATTTGATTTCCCCTTGGATTTGAACGTGCCTCTCGATCGCTCCTGTAGATTCAATGGCTTAGAAGGTTTCATGCTGTGTGATTTCTTCGAATGCGGCGCCATATTTCCCTAGACGAATCGATCGAGAGTGACAACGGAGTTGTGGAGTAGAGGAGGGAGGGTTTAGAATGGGTTTATGAGTATATCGATAGACGAGTCCGTATCTGCGCCGGTAGCTAGGGCCTGCTAATAAGGAGTACTCCCTCTATACAAATCCCAAGTTTTTTCAATCTATTTTATTTAAATATTGGTATAGAAATAAAAAATAAAACATACATAATTAAAAACTACATCAAAAGTTCAACAAAACAAGTGGTGACAAGAATATTTTATTTTATCATATAGGCCATGAAAAAACACAAATAAATATAAATTCCCGTGAAGTTGGAATAGTGCTCTAGGAAGATCATTATAGGACGGAGGGAGTAGTATTCTTTTATTTTCTTTTTTACAAACCAAATTTTATAAAGTCTAATCATCAATTGGATAAAAATTAAGAAAAATTCACTTGAGTACACCAAAAAATTTGTGATTTTATATTATTATTCTGAAATTGAATAATTTACACTGATGCTTCTAGAAATTATTTAAATTTATATCAATATTATGTGTTCTTAACAAAGCAGAATGCACGACACTTTAAATGATAGACTCTAAATTACTCCCTCCGTTCGAAATTAATCTTCTCTATTCTCCTTTTTATCCGTTCGCAATAAATCTTCTCGTTTCTATTTTTCAACCCTATTTAGACAAAAATATCATCCTCTTCAACCTTTTTTTTTGGGAAAAAAATAAAAGTATGAGTAAAACATTGAGAATATATCAAAATAGAACTTTCATGTTTTTGTTCCCGAAATAAGAGTTAAAATGTATTTACATTACCAAACATGATCATGTACATTACCAAAAAGTTGAGTAATGTGCACATTTACATTGTCACATTACGATCACATTACTACAGTGCGAACTCTTATTTCAAAAATAAAAACATGGAACTCCTATTTTGGTACTTCTTCTTATTTGTCTCTCCCTTCATCTTTCTCCTCCATCTTTCTTTTAGATATGTGACGTGGTGGCAATGGTGGTAGGCAACGGTGATGAATTGGCGGCGAGCGATGGTGGTGGCGATGATGAGTATAAATATGCACTTCTTTTTCTTTAGATCTATGACATGGCGACGATGACGGCAGCGATGGTGAGTCTATTAGATTTATACCCTTCTCTGGTGCCCTTTTTCTTTAGATATATGCCCTTCTTCTTATTTTTCTCTTTCTCCGACTTCGTTCTCTTTATTCTTTCTTTTAGATCTGCGATATGGTAGCGGGACAACTGGCGATGGTAAGTTGGCGATGCTGTCGGTTGTGGTGGGCCTAGGAGTGATGGTGTTGGGGGATGCTGGAGACGGGTGGTTAGGGGCGCTGGTGGGACTATTGGTGAAGGTGGGAGCAAGGGTTGGTGGTGGTGGGGCACTAAGGCTAACGGTTGTGGCGGGGCTGGCAGCGGTGTTGGGACTGCTGGCAACGACAATGTGCTTGACAGAGATGGCAAGGGCAAGGGGCAAGGTGAAGGAAAGATCAAAGGGTATTTTAGACATTTCCACCACATTGTCAACCCTCCTTAAAAATTAGAAAAGGTCAAAATGTGAAGTTTATTACCGAACGGAGATAGTATAAAGTACGTTTTAGAAAAACTAAAAGAAAATAATGTTTTAAACATAATAGAGAATTTTGAAGTACATATTTCATAATCAATTTTACATTTGATCTTTAAAATATAAATTCTGGACTATATCAACTTTAAAATTCTCCATTTTTTAACACTATTCATAATTTATTCGATTAAAATATAAACACTTTGTTTTTCAGTTTTAACGCATTTTTATTTCAAGGTGTTATGACTTAGACGATAAGAACCCATTAGTAGTTTCACTATTGGAATTTTCCAGAGCAAGTGATATGATGGTTGTTAACTCTTGTTTCTCGAAACAAGATGACTGTTTGACTACATTTGTTTGCAAAGTACCTCTTCCTGCGCATGTGTGATTGGGTGATTTTAAAAGACGTAAAAGTGCTCCCGAGTGAGAACCTTACCACCTAATACAACCCGATTTTAATGGATGACATGATCAGATGGGCGAGGCAAAGATAAGCTACAAGTGGCACAACGCATATCCGGTGGAGGAGTTTGGACGGGAGAAAATCGTAGCGCTTTCACGTGTGTGTAAGAGAAAGGCGTGTGGGAGTCTTTAGGGAGGCCACTAACATGTGGGCACAGACTGAAAACTACATTAGAGAAGCGACCAGAAAAGTGTTAGGTGTGAGTTGTGGTTTTGCGAGTACACATTAACGTGACTGGTTATGAAGTGATATCGTTCAAAGTAAGGTGGAAGCTAGGAAAGTGGCACTTGTGTGCATGATATTGTATAAAATTAATGAGCTAGTGAGTTCGTCTATGATAATTGTGAAGTTAATGGTAAGTGTCCAAAATTATAGTAATATAAATAGATAATTGTGAAGTTAATATAATTATTTTTTTTATAATAATTAACTGTCATTTTTAAAGTGTCCGAAATTATACTAGCAAGAAAGGCAAGTTGGAAAATTGGAAAGCGTAAGTTTTTATTAAAATTGGAATCTTATGTGTGATTTTAATTATAGTAATTTTAATTAAAATTTTATGTTACGTGTGATTACCGTGTCAAATTAATTATAGTAATTAAATGTTAATTACCGTGTCAAATTAATTATAGTAATACGTGTGATTACCGTGTCAAATTAATTATAGTAATTAAATGTTAATTATTATATCAAATTAATTATAGTAATTTTAATTAAAATTGTATATTACGCTATTAATGAAATGTAATATTACATGTGACTACATAATTGTATATTAATTACTGTTTCAAATGAATTATAGTAATTTTAATTATAGTAATTTTATAATGGCTATATTTTAATTATAGTAATGTTAATCAAAAAAAGGTAATAATTAACCAGGGTATTAATTATATAACTGTGTGACTACATAATTGTATACTACGTATTAATTATCGTGTCATTTTAATTATAATAATTTTAAATACAATAATTTAAATAATTTAAATATAGTAGTAGTAATTGTTAAGTATTTAAAGATGGTAAGAAATTAAAGTGTCCAAAAATTATAGTAATATAAAATGGACTATAACTATTATAAGAATTAAATATCCTTTAAATATATATTTACGTTTAATAGCGAGAAAGGTAATAACCAAAAAAGGTAATAATTAACTGTCATTTTTAAAATGTCCAAAATTATACTAGTAAGAAAAGTAATAATTGATTACGGTATTAATTATATAATTGTGTGACTACATAATTGTATATTAATTACCGTGTCAAATTAATTGTAGTAATTCTAATTATAATAATTTTATAAGAATAATTTTATAATGGCTATATTTTATAATGCCTATATTTTACTATATTTTAATTATAGTAAACTTAATCAAAAACAGTAATAATTAACTAAGGTATTAATTATATAACCGTGTGACTAGATAATTGTATACTTCGTATTAATTATCGTGTCATTTTAATTATAGTAATTTTAAATATAATAAATTAAATAATTTAAATATAGTAATAGTAATTTAAATTCGTTATAGCACTTTGAAAAATGAATAATTTTTTTAACCCCGTATACAAAAATCATATTATAAATAAATCCATTTACAAAACATTCAAAGCCATTACATTCATGATGAAGTTACGAGTAGTTAATGATGAAGTTACGAGCAGTTAGGGTTTATCACAGGTTTTCGTAACAATAATCCAACATGTTTTAGTTATGGAAAACCTTGGGTTGCAGTTTCAAGAGTAACTGATCGTAGTGAGTTGAAGATTCTGATATGCAATGAAGATAATATTCCTACAAATTGTACAAATAATGTCGTCTATAAATAAGTCTTTCGAAATTTGTAAAACAGTGATGTTTTGTACCTTAAAATAATATAATCTCCATATTCTATTGAATATCATTTTTTATCATTGAAAAATGATTTGAATTTAATAACATAAAAATGACATGTGCAGCGCACATGTGTGATACTAGTAGTAGTTATAAATTATAATAAGTGTAATGCTATTAGTGGGTAGGTATCGTGCTTTCCCCCTTACCCTTCTCGTAACTCAACATCACGTCAGCTTTTCTTTTTACTTTTTCATCTTTTTGAGGGGTATGGTTTTCATTCCATCACCCCCTTTCGTTTTGGATACTACTTTTTAACACTTAATTTAATGATTAAATAATACAAAATTTAAAAACTAAAAAAAGTTTAATGAGTAAATTAAAACGCTTAAAAACTGAAAAATTTAAAAAATTTAAAAAATTAAAAATGAAAACAAAATTAAAAACTGAAGAAGAAGCAAAGAAAAAATTAAAAAAATGAAGTAAAGTTTATGTGTAATATTATTTTAAATAAAATCTATTTGATTATATGTGTAATATTAAGAAGTAAAGTTTATATATTTAAAAATTTCTGTACATAAAAAATTCTTAAAAATAAGATATGACATTAATATATGGAGTATTATTTTATCAAATGATTAATGAAAATAGATAAAATTTGACAATATGAATAGAATCTAGAAAAGAAAGTTTGAGGACGGAGGGAGTAATATATTGCAAATAATATTATATTATACAAAGTATAAATTATATTATACAGAGTATCGTGGTTTATTCAAATTATACATAGTACTATAAAAATGAAATTAAAATACTTTGTATCTTTAGATGTATTTTCATCTACAATAGTTATTATTAGAAATATTAGATAATAGGAGATAACTATTATATTTAATTACTTTCCTGATCATATTATTTTTTTTATTGTATTGTTATCATAGTTGTTCTCCTACTATGATTAGATCAAATTTCTCTCATTTTATTCTTATAAATAAGGATGTATTATTCAATATTCAATAAGACTAATTATTATCAAATTTTATCATGGTACCAGAGCTAAAATTTTAAAAAACAAAGCACATCGCCGGTCTCTATTCACGGCGGTCGACTGCCCAACAGCATGGTGTCATCGACTGATTTCGACGAGCGTGCATAACAGCCGCCATCCATTATCCTTCCCTTTGTCACCAAAAAAATTCATTTTCTCTCCCTCTCTCTTCCAAAAAAACATGTGCGTGATCGAAGAATGAAAAAGTTGCATTTGCCTATGCTTCTAGAGATCGAGAGCATGGAAAGCGATTGAGAGGCAGAGAACGGCCTAAAAGGAGAAAAAAGAAACTCACCGCACTCGTTCCGATCGCCAACACTCTCACTAAAAAAACTCAGTAAACGTAAGAGTCAAAGAGAAGTGTGAATTCTACCAATCAATCAAAACATTCTTCAAGACTGCTTTTTTTTTTTTAATTAAAAACCATTATTCCTTATTTATATGGGTTCGCTGTTCTTTCTGTAAGTTCAACATGTCCGAAAATCCGATCCCTATATTTACTCTTACTGTCTCACAGTTACCCTATCTCTCTCTTCTCGTCAACAAAGCCTAGGGTTTCTGAAGCTATTTATCGCTCTCCAAGGTTAGCTCCATAGCTGATTCTCATGTAGCAGTCCTTGTTTGATCTATAGCTAGTGGTTTTTTTACTCATTAACTATTGTGTTACCGATCTCTCGAGTTCTCCTTCGAAAGCTAGATTTAGAAGTTTGACAAGCCAACCGAAGTTCCCCGATTTAGTGTTTCCTCAGTAATTTGGTTGTTTATTTTCTTTTGGTGTGATATGATGAGCGTTTGCTTGCATTTTGAAGTATATTGGCGTTGGTATATGCAGAGCTCTTTACAGTTTCATCTCAATTGCTTTGTTTTGCTTTCTTTTCTCTATTGCTAATGGAGATTCTTCGTCTTCTCTTTTTTTGGTTGTTCTTTTGATTTCCAATCAGGGGTTTGAACTGAGTCAATTCCAGGCTTGTAAACCGAGTTTATCTAATAGACAACAGGGACCTTGTAGCTTATTGATATTTATCTAGTTAGTTTTATAGAGGTAAGGGTTCTCTGCAATGAGGAACTCATGGGCGGATTTGGTTGATAATGCAGCACCTGGTAATGCTGGAACTAGTGGTGGTAGTGGAGCTCCGGCATCCACCAGGAGATCTGCTTATGTGCCCCCTCACATTCGGAACAGACCAGCTGCAGCTGCAGCTCCACCTCCAGTTCCCACACAGGGTGTTCCACAGGCTCGCAATGACAGGTTTAGTGGCGGTGGATCTGCAAGTGGGCCAGTGTGGAATGGTCCCAGATCTGAATATGGGCCCCAATGGTATGGTGGTGGCCGTGGTGGTGGTGTATGGGGCGGGAGAGGTGGTGGTCGGGGCAGAGAGCAGGAGGTGAACCCATTTGGTAGTGATGAAATTGATGGTGACGAGGTTCCTCCAACTGAACAAGAGAATGGAGGGATCAACTTTGATGCGTATGAGGATATTCCAGTGGAAACAACTGGAAATAATGTCCCCCCTCCTGTGAATACTTTTGCAGAAATAGACTTGGGGGAGGCCCTTAACTCGAATATTAGAAGATGCAAATATGTCAAGCCAACTCCTGTCCAGCGTCATGCAATCCCCATTTCTCTTGCTGGAAGAGATTTGATGGCTTGTGCACAAACTGGATCTGGAAAGACAGCTGCTTTTTGTTTCCCAATTATTAGTGGAATCATGAAAGGGAGTTTTCCTCAGAGGCCACGTGCAGGGCGAACTGTGTTTCCTCTTGCTCTAATTCTTTCACCTACAAGAGAGCTCTCAATGCAGGTTTGTGTGCCAGTCTAATGTGGGGTAACTTATTTACGCACTTGGTCAGTTGTTTCATCAATTTCACGTCCACTTTTATTTTGGAATTACATGTTGTTATTGATATGTCTAATAACCATGCAGATACATGAAGAAGCAAAGAAGTTCTCTTATCAAACTGGCGTCAGAGTGGTTGTGGCTTATGGAGGGGCACCAATGCATCAACAGGTCTCTTTAGATTTTGGTTTCTCCAGTCTCCTTTCAGTGGGAAAGCCGTGATTTTAATCTTGGGGTGCCAAGTAATTTTTTTATATATTTAAACCTATGCTCTATTGTATAAAAGTTGTTTTAAACCAAATCTTATTTTTTAAAAAAAACATCTTTTAACCAAATTTAATGCTCCCATTGTCTCATTATTTTTGTCCCTTTTTTTGTCTCACTATTTTTGTCCCCTACCATATTTAGTCATGTTTGTGGGCTCCGTTACACTTTATTTAGATGAAGGGAGAAATAAGAAGGAAAAATTAATGGAAAGAAGTAGGCGAAAAGAGAGATTGATTATAAGCCGGGATAGTTTCAGGTTGCTGAGAAAGAAAATAAATTTTCTTTCTAAAGACAAGTTGTCTTATCACATAGAAAAATTAGTTGCATTCATGTTGTTTAGTTTAAATTTCAAACTTTTCCCTCAAGTTATCTCTCAATTACAAAGAAATTCTCTTTTGATGTGGGCCCACACAGTTTATTTTCTTCCCCAGTTTTCACCCCAACCAAACCATGCAATTTATTTTTTTCTCTTCATCTTCTCTTCTCCCACGTCCTCCACCCCAAACCACTCCAACTAAAACAATCCATTAAGGTTCACCATTGCCTCCTTTCCATATTTTTAATTAGGTAAAATTTCTACTTTTTGATTGAAATTTACTTAACTTAACTCAACTGAAGAGGAAGTTAGTTACTGAAAATAAGTCAAAGGGATCTTAAATTTCGCTCATGAAATGTCTAATTTAACTTATTGGTTCTTATATTGTGCTTATGATGTTGTTGATTTGTGTAATATTTAGTGTACTTTGTTGTGTCAGACTGCTCGCCACTTACATAGTTCTACCAGAGGGTAAAATGATAAATAGGAGATACACAAAGGTGTGCAGAGTTATGCTTGCATTTTCATTTGGCCGGGCACTTGANCCCCCCCCAAAGAAAAAGTACTGCATCAGTATACTTGTGCTTAGCAGAAAATAGACCGCAGACTTTCTGTGTTAGAAATTGAATGGTCTTTGCAAACTCATGAAGAACTCCCTCTGCCCCCCTTAGTAACTTGTTTTTTCTTTTTGGCTGTCCTGAATGAACTTGGTCTTTCTTTTCAAGGAAAGAATTGCATGGTCTATATTTTCCCTTCCAAAAAGCCTTACACAATCTCCACACTCTTAAATGCGTACACAAGTTAAAATGAAAATTATTTAGGGATGGAGGGAGTGGTACATGTGTATAACAACATGAGAGTTAAGATGCACATAAACCTACTCCTAAAAGAAACAAGAAAGTTATATAAAGAAAAAAAGAAACTATTTCCATTAGACCCTTGATTCATTGCTGCATTTACTATCCAAAACTTCGTAGGAAGCAAGAAGCGAAGGAAGTTTGATGTGTGATGTCCGATTTTTATTTAGTCCATTATTTACCTGAAACTAAAACATTGTCAACAGTGACTCTTTTAGTTCCATTGGCAATAGACTCTATTGAAGGGAGTAGTAGTTAAAAGTACTTTAGTGCGTTCTATTGTAAGAGTCTTTTGTGGATCCAAGAATCAATTTTGTCTTTGGTCCTTGATTTATGGAGATCATAGAGAAATTTATGAAAATTCAAGTGACCTGGAAAACAGTGCTTTGACACCAACCAATACTTTGATGTTCCGTGATTCATTCATCTTATTCACCACAGAGGAAAGGTGAATATATGGAAATTCAAGTTACCTGAATATCAGTGCATTGACACCAACCAATACTTTGATGTTCCATGATTCACTCATCTTATTCTTCAAGTTTCTCACATGTGGCATAATTGGCCATCAAATCTTCTATCATGCTCATTTTTATTTGCATATAGCCTTGTACAGTTGACTAATTATTTAAAAAAAATCAGCTCCGAGAACTTGACAGAGGAGTTGATATTCTTGTGGCAACTCCGGGGAGATTAGTTGATTTGCTCGAGAGAGCCAAAGTTTCTCTAGAGATGATAAGATATTTGGCCCTTGATGAAGCAGATCGTATGCTTGATATGGGGTTTGAGCCTCAAATCAGAAGGATAGTGCAGCAAATGGATATGCCCCCACCTGGTGTAAGGCAGACTATGTTATTCAGCGCCACATTTCCTAGGGAAATTCAGGTTTGCTTATTCCTGACAAGCTGATTTATTTTACTTTTTAGCAATTCACAATTAGTAACCAACTAGCCTATACCCTCAAAATAGATGTAATGAGACGAGATCAGAGCTCCAGTCTTCTAGAAACATATAAATAATCCCTATAGCTACTCAATACCTTTGGACTTTGGAATGTCACAAATTTCTTTAGAAGACAGAAATATGAATTCGATCTATCTGGTGATCCATCTCCTCTTTGACTTATATGCAGAGACTTGCATCTGATTTTCTTTCAAACTATCTATTTTTGACGGTTGGACGAGTTGGTTCCAGTACTGATTTGATTGTTCAGAGAGTTGAGTTTGTTCAAACTCACGACAAGAGAAGCCATCTTATGGATCTTCTTCACGCACATAGGGCAAATGGTCTTAATGGGCAGGTAATAAACTATAATGTACTGTTCCTATAATGTTCGGTATCTCTATCTTTAAATGAATGGGCTTGGTGGTTAACATCTGCAAAAACTGTCCACTGCCTGCCACTGAAATAAAAAATAAACACAGGTTAGGCAGACAAATAAAAAACATGATTTATTGAATTTGCTTTTCGCTGATTTGTTGGCTGTAACTTTTGCAGCAAGCTTTAACATTGGTGTTTGTGGAAACAAAGAGGGGAGCAGATGCATTGGAACACTGGCTCTGTACTAATGGGTTTCCTGCAACTTCTATTCACGGCGATAGATCACAACAGGTCAGGGTTCCTCTTTTTATATAACTGCTTTGAACTAATGCTATGCTTGGTAGGACATAATCAACCGTGTAATGGAATGATCATTACTTATTGATTGGGTTGCCATGTTTGGTTGGGCCTTATATGTTTTCCGTAAAAGAATTGTCGATACAAATGTATTGTCCCATGTCCATTATTAAAATGTGTAATAAGCTTTATACCCGATTCTTTCTCAAATGCAAAACTTTTTAATTATAGCGAGGTATAATTATTACTTGTTATAAACCATTGATTATAGCAGTTTCTTTAATTTACTTGTTGGTTTAGCTTAAATTTGACATACTTAATTTGTTTCATACACCTTCATAAAAATATAAATATATAAAAATGTACTAATGTAGCATGTTTTGCTCAAATATGTTTTTTGGGGGCAAAACTAAGTTTTGAGTAGGACAATTTCGTAGATGAAGAGAGTAAATAGAAAGGAATGAGAACTCCTTCCACCATATTACATGCATGTTCTATTGTGTGATCTATTCCATTCCATTCCATTAAATTCTATTATGGTCCTACCAAACTTAGATTAAGAAGTGTTTTCAGCTTTCTCGTGACAGATTTAAAATCTACACGACTAATACAAGTATGTGTAGTTTTGATTTATGGTTAAATATGTTTTTGGTCCATGTAAATTGTAATGAGTGACTTTTGCTTTTGGTCCCTCTAAAACATTTTTAATTAACTCATCCCTGTAAAGTGTATTTTTTTGCAAATGGTCCTCCCACTAAACTTTTACAAGTTGTAGTTAATGTTGAATACGTCTTTGGTCCCTATAAAATTCGCGATTTTGTTGTTGGTCAACTTTTTTTAAGTCCAAAGTGATTTTGTTTTTGGTCACTATAATTGGGTGTAAACCCTAACACATTAAGGCATTGTTCTTTTGGGTTGGAAAATTTAACTTCTAATGTTTTCCAACTCCTTCCACTTCCTTCCAACTTATTTCAGTTTCTTCCAACGACGATTTAAAAACGGTATTTATCTATGATGAATATACAAACATTATATATCCAAATTTATAACATACCACCTCAAATACGGAAAATGATGAATTCTTTTTTTTCTTCAAAATTAGAGTTCTCTTGCATATTTATTTGGGTGATCATTTAATTGTTTTACGAGAAGGAGACGTAGAAAAGGGAACCAAATCCCTTTTCTATGTCTCCTTCTCGTAACAAATTGAATGACTTTTTAACATTTTAATTCTTCCAACATTTTCCAACTCCTTCCATTCTTTCTAACTCCTTCCATTTTCTTCCAGTTTTTTCAAGTAGTTTGAAACACTTATAGAGAATAACTTTATGTTCAATGAAAATTACTCTTTTTCGATGTAGGGCGTCTTTTGGGGATAAAAATGAGATTTGAACCTAACTATTGTTTGGAAGAAGAAAGTATCATTTGAACTCATAAGACCAAACACTGAATCTGTAACCACCCCAATCATGGCGCCACCAATCTACTTTTGATTTCTTATAGTTAAAAGCTTAGGCTATTGAACTTACACGTACTATTGTTTTGTGTGTTTAAAATTAAATATTCACAATGCTAATTTTACAGGAAAGAGAGTTTGCATTAAGATCATTTAAGAAAGGGGATACTCCCATTTTAGTTGCAACGGATGTTGCAGCGCGTGGCCTTGACATTCCTCATGTTGCCCATGTCGTCAATTTCGATCTCCCTAACGACATTGATGATTACGTGCACCGGATAGGAAGGACAGGCCGTGCTGGCAAGAGCGGATTGGCCACGGCATTTTTCAACGAAGGTAACGTCTCATTGGCCAAACCTTTGGCTGACTTGATGCAAGAGGCTAATCAAGAGGTACCTGATTGGTTGGCTCGTTATGCTAGTCGTTCTTCTTATGGTGGTGGTGGTAGAAACAGGAGGCCTGGTGGGAATCGTTTTGGTGCCCGAGACTTTAGAAGGGGCGGCGGAGGTGGTGGCAAAGATTATTATGGCGGTGGCGGAGGTTATAGTGGTGGTTATGGCGGAGGATATGGGTCTGGAGCAAACAGTGCATGGGATTAGGGGTTTTCGTTTACATTGTTTTCATCATTATTATGTACTCTGATAATAATATTAGGACTCAAAACACTTGCAATACGAGAAAATGGTGTGCTTTTTGAATATTTTTTCCCCAAATGATTTAAAAGTGAAAACCATACTTTGGGGGATGGAGTAGAGAGCCTTGAAGACATGATAATTTTCAAGGTTTGTGTTTTTTGTTTTGCAACACGAGTCTTTCTAATGATGTTTTGGTGTCTTTTTTCCCCTCTTTCTTTTAGTCCCACAGTTTTGGTTTGTCAAGAGTTTGCGTTTATGGTCATGTCTTGAAACTTATTATGGTTGATGAATTAAGGCCTTGTTTGGTAATAGCATTTTCAATTGCCGTTAGCGTTTTGGTCAAAATTTTAATGGTGTCGATTAATATTGAAAATGTTGTTAAAAGCTACTAGCAAATACGGAGTAGCTCTTTAAAAATGTTAATACTGATACCAAACGAGGCCTATGTCTTCGTTTCTAGTTGGTGTAACATGGTGTTTATTATCAAATGAAACAACTGTATTAGTTGTTCTGGTTATCTCAATAAAAGCTAGGAAAATTGATCCATTGGAACTAAATAAGTAAATATACAAATCTGTACTCTGCAAACTAAATTTCATTCCCAAAGGGTAATATGGAAAAATCAATTACTCCTCCTGTCTTTGAGTATTCGTGTACTTTTGACTTTTTGGTCAAAATTCATAAACTTTGACCTCAAGCTAAATAAAAATGATACAACCTCCGTCCTAATGTATTTGTCCAGTTTGACTTTTTTGAGTCAAACTGGACAAACTTTAAACTCCAATTACTCTCAATTTATATTGCATATTATCATAATGAAATACAATTTTGAAAATTCTCAATACGATAAATCGAATAAAGTTATTTTTATGTTAAAATACATTACGATTTTTATTTTATTGAAACTCAAAGTTTGTCGAGTTTGACTCGAAAAAGTCAATCTGGACAAATACATTGCGACGGAGGGAGTATTAGAGATATTAAACTTTGACCTCAAGGTGAGATAGATATATCATAATAATCATGATATTTTTTCCTTAAAATATGAATATGATTTTGAGCCACAATTTTATCTCTTTAACTCTGTATAAAAAACAAAATGATAAAAATACGGAGTAATTCAGAACAAAGAGACTACTCTGTATATTTTAGCTATTGAGGCATTGTTTGGAACAACAATTGCAGTTAGGGCATGTTCTCTTCGTCAGATCTTATTGGTTCCGATATCAATTTTTTAAGTTCTGATCTAAATTCTGAACTGGTCTAGTCTGTTCTGAACTCATCTGGTCTGATTTAAATGTAGTGTAATTTAAAGCTATGACTAATCTAATCTGAACGCATCTGATGTAAATAAGAATAAATAATAAGTAAAAAAACTGAAAAGAACATGCTCTTAGTGTTTTGGATAATTATTCAAAGGTATAGATTAATTTTAAAAATATTAAAACTAAATACTAATGAAATAATTTTTTTAAAACGTTAAAATTGTTGCCAAACATGTCAGAAAATGCCACCAAGCAAACAAGTGACTGAGTTTAAAATGTAGTCTACACATTGTATTACTATTATTGCACATTATACAAAATGAGAAAAACAAGAGACAAGACGTGTTTTCACTTTTTTTTTTGTGGTTCAACATCAACATGCTATTTTATAGCCATATTGGAATTGAGACTTTTCACTAATGTTTGTTACCAAACGTTTTCATACAAAGGAGTGCTAATAAGAGTTTAGGTTTGAAAAAAAATTAGATATTAAGGGTCCGTTTGATATATGGAATTGATAAAATTGGAATTGAATTAGAATTGAAATTCTACGGGATTCAATTCTATAAAATTGAATTCACCAATTCTAATTCATTTTTTGTAGACGACCAGATAAGTTTAGAACAGACTAGACTACCATTTAGTTTGGTAAAACGGGAAAGACTTGTAAAAAATTGAAGGAATCAACATACCAACACACTAACTCATAGGATGAGTTTGTTTGGCATAAAAATAGAGGAGACAATAATTTATACTACCCCTCATCATTTAGTTTAAATCAGGGGCGGGTTTGGAAAACCGAAAACCTCAAACTAAATTCAAATCAATCCAATCGAGTTATAAAAAGTCGAATTGAAAAAATCGAAGCTAAATGTGAGAATATCAAAACAATCAGATCAACAAGTTTTATTCATGTTACGTAATCCAATACGTGATCCACCCAGATTAAAATTAATATTCAGTTAGAGTACTCCTTATTTCTTACTTCCAAGTAATTTTAGAATCGATAATGAAAGAACTCTAAGGATGTGATTCATCATCATTTTTTGGACAACGATCTTTTGACATTGAATATCAATATCAAAATATGGTACTCCATATGAGACTACTACAATGGCCTGTTCGCAAAATTAATTGTTAACTACCCCTTAAACCCCCTAAACTCCAGTGTCCCCGCCACATCATCACCTCCTACCCCACATCCTCCGATCACTGCTTTGGCAGTGCAATATCGGAAAAATGTTTGATTCTAGAAATTATCAATTTTACGAGCAAGATATCATACGTGACTTGTCATATTATGACATTGAAGAATCAAAATGTTTTTTCTTAAGATGACCCAAAGCATGGTTGGCAGTGTATAAATTCAAAAAAATGTAATAATGAGAATTGAGGTATGTACAGTTTTTCCTGCAATGAACTCCACTATATATCAAAGCCAAAAGAATGTATCATATCGTCATATATGTCCATATTAGTACTTATAATAATTTCATGTTTGGGATGATGATGTTTCATCCCTATCATGTCATGAAACACTTTCTACCCAGTTTTTGTTATTGGCTTTTTTTGTTTTGAAATTACTCCTTCCGTCCAAAAAAGAATGTCACATTTCCCTTTTCAACAATCACGAGAACTTTTATTTATTTATACACTTTTATTTATTATTTGATAAATAAAATATTTTTTACACCTCTTATTTTGAATAATTTTTCACATAGTTTTTAAATCTCTAAATTTTATTTTTTTTATTTTTATACCAATATTTAAATAAAATAAATTGAAAAAACTTGATATTTTACACCATTTTGCAAAATGTGGCAAACATTTTGGGACGGAAGGAGTAATTTTTACCCTTAGTACTTTGTGTGTTCCAATTTTTTTGAATAGTTTAATTTTTTGGAACAAATTTTATAAAGTTTAATTATAAATCGTGGAAAACGTACATTGTTTATAATAAAAATGTAAAATATAATTTTGCTTATGTTAAGATGTACTCTCTCCGTTCCAATTTATAGCGCATATTTACTATTCACAGAGTTAAACTTCATTCACTTTATTTTTCTATTTTCATTAACAATTTGATAAAATAAAGTTCTATTGTCACTACTAGTTTTGTAGATCTTTTGATGTTGTATTTTAATATGCAATTTTAATTTTTTAACTCTATACCATTTGTCATATACTACCTCCATCTCACTCTCTTTGTCAACTTTTGACTTTTGGAATTATTCATCTAAGCACTTTGACTCATCAAATTCTCTCAATGTATAAGCCTAAATATAGTCATGTGTGATCTTGTTTGATTTGTCTTAACATATAGATTATTAATATATAATTTTTATAATTTTTTAATATACATATTACAAGATAAAATGGATTAAAGAAGTGCATTGGATGGTGTGCCAAAAGGTAAGTGGACAAAGAGAGTGAGACGGAGGGAGTAAAATGATTTGAAAATAATTTCAGTCAAACATCGTAAATCGAAACAGGCATTATAAATTAGGCCGGAGGGAGTAATTTTTAAATATCAATTTCTTTATAACATTTATTTAGGTAAAACTATATTTATTATAAACAAAGTGTGTATCAGTTTAACCATAGAAGTCATGACAACAATAACAACAACCCAGTTGAATTCTACTAGCGTAGTGTCTGGAGAGGTTGTGTATAAAGTATACGCAGACCTTGTCCTAGACCCTAGCTCAAATAACACAAATAGCATAAACTCAGAGAAGACACATACTCCGAATAATAGAAAAACACAAGCACAAAAAGCCAAGACAACTAATACTTCCTCCGTCCCAATTTATTTGCAATACTTCGAACGACGTGCAAAATATCATCTCTTTTAAAATCACTTCAATTTCAAATTGGTAGAGTAATAAAAAGTAAAAATTACACCATTCAAAAGTATATGAAAAGCTCTACAAAACAAGATGCGACAAGAATATTTTATTTTATCAAATGATCAACCAAAACGAGTAAACAAATAAAAATTATCGAGAGGCCAGAATAGTAAACGTGGAATTCTTTCTGAGACGGAGGGAGTATTAATGAGAGTAAAACTAGGGGTGTATACGAATCGAATCGAAGCAAATATATCACTATTCGATTCGTATTCGATTAAAGTGATATGTATTCGATTCGATAGATATTTGACATATTTGAATTCGTATTCGAATTCGAAAATATAGTAAAAATTAAAATGTAGTAAAAATTAAAATGTAGTAAAAATTAAAATGTAGTAAAAATATGTTAGAATATATATAAATTTATTTATAAATTATAATATTCGAATATATATAAATTTATATGTACACAAATATTTAATATATCAGAATATATATAAATTTATTTATAAATTATAATATTCGAATAATTTGAATAATAAACGAATCGGATTTATTAATATTTGTATTCGAATTCGAAAATAATTCGAATCTAAAATATGATTTGTATTCGGATTCGAATTCAAATATAGTGAATACAAACCATCTTTTTCGAATACGAATCACGAATCGAATACATTTTATTTGATTTGTATGCACCCCTAAGTAAAACATAGCAAGTAGAAAGCATAAAGTAAAAAGTGGCAAGGCAGTTGCGCAGTTGGCAGTGAGCCAGTAGGTATTATTGTGCTGTTGGTAAGGCAAGAAATGTCAAAGGGGTAAGACTCGAGTTCGATCTCTGACAACTGCGATGGGAGACAAATATGCTAAGCATATGACCTATGCAAGTATCAAGTACAAGTTTCACTCTTTACAACCAATCTGCGATCAAAGTCCAATTTACCCCGTCTCATTGAAAAATATGAGATAAAATAATAAAATCTAGACTGACATGAGTGTGCATCATGCTTCATTCTTATTTCTCATGTTAAGAATAATCTCAACCTAAACCACATTTTATATATAGGAAAATTGTTGAGGTCAAGGCGGCCTCGAGGATTTGTGGCCCTGGACAAGATGAAAAAATAGACATTGATCCTAACAAATTAAATTATAAAAATGATTTTTTTAAAACAACAGTTAATATTATAGTAATACATATAACAAAACTATAGTATTATAACTAATTATCGTAATACCTACCTTAAAAATTAAATATTTATTTTTTAAAAAATATATAATATAAATATTAAAAAATAAAAAAGTTTGGCCTCCAAAAAAGTAAACCTAAGCCAGTAGGGTACCTTGGCCCACCCTCGGCCTGGCCCTGATTGAGTTACTCGAACAATTGTACACCATTTGTATATCAAAGGCAAACACATACTCCCTCCGTTCTCAAAAACTCTTCCTCTTTCATTTTTTATTTCCAATAAAACACTTCCATTTTCAAATAAAAAATCACTTTTAACCTTACTTTTTCATACCCTACCTATCACATCATACTTTTTCTCTAATAATATATCCATCACATCAGGGGCAAAATTAGAAATCAACTATAATTTAACCCTTCCTTATTTTGGCTTCAAGTCAAAGTGGGAAGGTTTTTTCCAAACGGATGGAGTATGTTTTATGTCTGTTTGGACACAAGTGTGTGTGTGTATACACACACACACACACACACACACACACATTCACTCCCTCCGTCCTATATTGATGTTCCCGCTTTGACTATTGTTCATTTTTAAGGGATTGAATTTTTGCACTTTGACTTCCAATTATACCCTCCCTTTAAAAAAACCATTGGACCCAAATTGACCCAATTGGGTCCAAATTGAACCTGTCCAGCCCGTCCCTAGCCACTACTGGCGGTCCGCCGCCGTGACTCACAGGAATCCGGCCGAGAATCCAACCCCAACAAAACCCCCAACCAGTTCAACATCCAAATCAATAATCCCAACAATCAATTCACACAATTTCACAATCAATCGCAAGATTAATACAAACAAGATCCTAATCTACAAATTAAGGCTAACGATAGATATTTGAGCAACGAATCACCACAGCTCGAAATGGAAGAATTAAACTCGGGTTGGAGGAGGAGGAACCGCCGCTGCCCATGTTCGACCGACCCGTGCACACCGGTGGAAAGAGAGAGGGAGAGATGGTGGTCGCCTACTGTTTCCCTGGGACGGAGGTCGTCGGTGCTGCTGTGAAACCGTCGGACGACGAACAGCTACGCAGGGGAGTCGACGGAAATTGAGCAAGAGAAATGGACGGTGAAGAATGAAGATAAAGGGGTGGGTTGGGTATGGGGTGGGTGAGTAATAAAGGTTTTAACCTTTTAGAGGTATTTTATTCATTACATGTGTATTTAAAGTGTGTGGGAAGATGATTTTAGGACGGGAAAAAAAGAAAGTAGGAAGATCAATATAGGACGGAGGGAGTGTGTGTGTGTGTGTATATATATATGTGTGTGTGTGTGTGGTGCATTGGTTGAGAGTAGTTTGTTGTAGTGGAAGAAATTTAAAAAAAAAATAGAAAGAAAAGAAAAGAAAAAGGAAATGGAAGAGGCATTGCTGGAGTGTTCATCAGATGAAATGGGTCCAGAAGCAGAGTGTATGAGATGGAACTTCTTCTCAAAATTACCAGAGAAGCTGCGGGGAGGCATTGATCCCCAAACCCCCTTCCTTCTTGATCTCTCTAAAACCTCCGGTTTAATTCAAGGTACACCACTCTCCATATCAAAACAACAATCTCACACTTTTACTACTCAAAATATCGTAAGAATTTTTATTTATTTGTTTGTTTTCATGGATTTTTTTGATAGAATAATATATTCTTTTCATTTTTTTTGAATTTTTTTTGACGTTTTTAAATATGCGCAAATTTTATTTTTTAATTCTATACAAATCTTCAAATAAAATGAATTTAAAAAAACTTAAAATTTCGCTTTGTTTTGCGTAATGTGGCAAACATTTTGGGGCGGAGGGAGAATATGAATACTATTTGCATCTTATCTAGTACTCCCTACGTCTCAATTTCAATTGCATGTTTCAATTTACGATACATTGCTAAAGTTATTTTTAATTCATTTTATTTGAGAATCAGGGTGAAATTTAAAAAAATAGAAATTATATCAAAAGTTATACTCCATCCGTCCCAATTTCGATTACAATATTTCTTCTCCCCTCTAGATAACTTTTGTTTATTTATGTGTTTTCATTAATTATTTGATAAAATCAAATATTCTTGTCACCTTTTGTTTTGTAGAACTTTTGGTGTAGTTTTTAATATTTATTTTTCTTTTTTTATTGATATATCGATTTGTAAATAGAATGATTTCAAAAAATGAGAGATTTTACCTCGTAAATTCCAATTTGGAATTAATACCTCTGTTTTTTGAAGCTTATTTCTAACGTTCTCGTGATTTCAAAACGTTGCATCCACACCCCCGATCATTTTCCGGCCATTTTTTCCAACGAAGAGGGTACATTGATGCTTATTTTCTAAACCATAGGGGGCACAGTTGCACACATGCTCATTTCTAATTTTTTGTTTATTATTTTGTTTTTTTCTTTTTTAACTTTTTATCTCTTTGTTTCCCTTTCCTAGATAAGTTTTTTAAATTTATTTTAAAACTTTTATAATGTTTTCAAAAATTCAAAATTCTTTGTGTTTGAAATAAAAAAAATTAACATATACTCCATCCATCTCAAATTAAATATTTTAAATTTTTGTTTTCTATAATAATGTTTTTGGTATGTTCAAAAAGAAAATAAAAACTAAAAAGATAAAAATAAAAATATGGAAAAAAGAAATGAAAAAAAAGGAAACATCTAAAAAAGAGTCCTATACAAAAGGAATTTTCAAAACCCCTAAAAAATCCTTACAATCTGAATGTTCAACAAGGATATTCATTTTTATTTTTTATTTTATTTTATTTGTTATTTGATTCCTCATTTTTCGAAGTTCTCAAAACAATTTTTTAATTTTCTATTTTAGAAAACCAAAAATAAAAATTGTTAATTTAAGACATGCAAACCACGTGGACTTTAGAAACGAGTTTTGAAAACAAAGGAGTATTGGTGTCTATTTTCCAAAGCATATTGGTGCTATTTGGCCTTATTTTATCAAATAAATAACGAAAATAGATAAAGAAATGAATAAAATTTAACTTTTTGCGAATAAAAACGACTTTTATTGAGAGAGAGAGAGTAATGCTACTTGTTCTACATGGGTTATTGCTCATTTATACGTTCCCTAATGTGAATTTGAACTGAATATGATTATATGAATGAATGAACTCTTTAATATATACGAGTGTAATTATATTTTATGGACATAAATACATAATATTATATTCCACCAGGAGAGAAAGAGTACTATGAAAAGCAGATTGCCACTTTAAAGTCATTTGAAGAAGTTGATTCTTTGGACTCCTCCTCTAACTATGGAGGACAAGAAGAGGAAGAAGAAGAAGAAGAAGAAGGCCGGAAAGAGCAGGCCCGGCATGAAACGGCTATGTCCATCTCTAATTACGCAAACATCTTTTTGCTCGCTTTTAAGGTCGCTTTTGGTACATTATTTTGATATCCGAACCGTTCTAGAGCCACTCGCTCCGATTGACACTGCAGTACCACTGTCTTTTTTTGAGGCACTCACGGTGTTTCGTTCACAAAATTAATTTTACCCCGTCCCAACGTATTCGTTGAGTTTGACTCTTCCGAGTTAGATTGAGCGAAATAACCATCAATTTTGTGTACGAAACAGTAACCTAATTGGAGCTGGTGTCATCCATAGCCACTCAAAGTGGCTGAGTGGCTCTAGAACCCCTATGTTTTGATATACAAACTTTATGTTTAATTTGATTTTACACTCTGCAAGTGACCCAATTCAAGGCAATGAAGTGAGTGTGCACCTTACTTTTGAAGGTTTACGCCACCGTAAGGAGCGGGTCCCTCGCGATAGCAGCGTCGACGCTCGACTCTTTGCTTGACTTGATGGCAGGTGGAATCCTGTGGTTCGCGCACTCGTCGATGAAAAATATAAACATATACAAATACCCAATTGGGAAGCTGAGAGTTCAACCAGTGGGAATCATCATATTTGCAGCCATTATGGCTACTCTTGGTATGCAGTATTCATGCATTGAATTTCATATGTGTTTGGTTTCTTATCACATTGAACATATAAATGTGTTTGGGTAGGTTTTCAAGTGCTAGTGGAAGCAGTAGAACAGCTGGTTAAAAGTGAGCCAACAGATAAACTAAGTTCACAGCAATTGATTTGGCTGTACACTATCATGCTCACAGCCACTGCTGTAAAACTCATTCTATGGATTTACTGCAAGAGCTCCCGAAACGAGATTGTCCGAGCATATGCGAAGGTAAATTCCAACTCAATCGAAAGTTCGAGCTTGTGGTTGAAGGTCTAGAAATAATGCACGTCTTTCTGGAGATATAATTTGTTGTGTGTATGTTGACGATATAGGACCATTATTTCGACGTGGTAACAAATGTTGTCGGGTTGGTTGCTGCTGTTCTCGGGGATAGATTCTTTTGGTGGATTGATCCCGTCGGAGCGATAGTCCTCGCTGTCTATACGATTACCAATTGGTCTGGCACTGTCCTCGAAAATGCAGGTTGTCTTCGGGCCCACGCTCGGGCTTCTCGTTGTTTCGTTACAAATTGAGATGAAAGAAGTATCATTTTTCGTCTTTTTGTTCTTCCTTTTTTTAGTTTCACTAGTTGGACAATCGGCTTCCCCAGAAGTTCTACAAAAGCTAACATATATGGTGTTGAGGCACGACCCCAGAATAAAACGAGTTGACACGGTCCGAGCCTACTCATTTGGCGTTCTCTTCTTCGTCGAGGTATAAATGTGTGATTACTTTAGGAATTGAGGTTTTATAAGCAACAACAACAATCCAGTACAATCCCAACATTCTTGAGATCTGGGAGGTTAGGATGCACGTAGTCTTACCTCGAGAGGTTTTTTCAGTTAAAACCCTAGATGCACTGCTGCATTTACTGTCCAAAACTTCATTGAAAGTAAGAAACAAAGAGAGTTTAATTTACCATTTTGATTTGTTCCATTATGTGAAATGGAAATACAACATTGTCAATATTTAATAATGACTCTATTAGCTCCATCACCATTTTGAGGTTTATAAGTTAAGGTTGTATAAAAAAACCGATGGTTTTGTTGACCCCATCCCATAGTCTTCTTCCAAACCCATATTTTATTTCATTGTTTTTAACAATATATTTTTCAATGTCGAATGTTATTATATATATAGGTGGACATTGAACTCCCGGAAGAGTTGCCACTAATTGAAGCGCACGCGATTGGAGAGTCGTTGCAGATTAAGATTGAAGAGCTTCCCGAGGTGGAGCGTGCGTTTGTTCATCTTGACTACGAGTGTGATCATAAGCCAGAACATTCGGTTTTGAGTAAAATCCCAAACACCACACCTTAACATTGTGTGTGTGTGTGTGTGTGTGTGTGTGTTAGATCATGATGTGTATGCATGTGTGGATGATGTGAGGAGGTTGAGTTCTCACAAGATGGAGATCATCTGTCATTGTTGTTGGGAAGCTGAGAATTCAAATTATAAGGGTAAGATTGTCATTATTTAATAGGATGGACCCGAAGATCTACTTTCAAAGTGCACCTGGTGGGCCGGTCAGCAGCCTACCGGTTGGATAATCAGAGACGTGCTTGACGTGCTTAGGATTATTATAAATACCCCTAAAAGCCTCATTTGTGAGGCATGCTTTAATTAACCTACACGGTTTGTATTTGTAATAACTCCCATTATCATTAATAACAAATCGGGTTACAGGTGTTTCCACCTACAACCCCTCCGATTACTCATACTTAGTATTTGCGTGGTAATTTTCACCATCAAATTGGAGCATTGATAATGGCAAGGCAAAATGAAATGCCACACGGTGACATGGATTATTTCCACCAATAAAAAATAACCCAGTCACCGTGTGGCAAATGAGTGGAATGTCGTAACATACAGTGGCAAGTCGTTGTTTTTGTCTATTTTTATACTTTTTAATGATTTTTAATTATAAAAAAATATTTTAAAAATCTATTTTATTATTAAAATATGTTTACTTCTTTTAATTTTTTTTTTCAAAAATTAAAAATATTAAAAATATTAAAAAAAAATAAAAAATGAGAGAGTCATGTCTTGCACATGGAATGAAAAGTGGTGTGGAATGGTCATGGAATGCCATGATTTGAGTGAAATTTGCTGATATGGCATGGCAAGGCATTGCCTTGCCATTGTGAATGCTCTTAGTGACTTGATAAGTAGTATTTGCTCAAATTAATCATCTCACCTTATTATTCACATTTCAAATTTTTTTTCTTCTTTTTTCATTTATTATTGTTAGTCATTTATTAAAATAACACAATAATATCACCTCTTATTTAAAAAAAAAACTAGAGATACCTCAAGGTGGTGTACTCCATATATTCCCACATACACACTCAGACACCCACTGTCTGACATAGACAATGAATGTCTGTGTGTGTCTGTGAGTAGATGGTGTACACCTAAGGTACACCACCTTAGGGTACCCCTACCAAACCCCTAAATTATTCCCACTCTCCCCAAAACTTTACTCCATTCATTCACATGACCCAAACTATCCTTTCACAAAGTCCAAAACACGTCTTAAAACACACCTCTAGATGAAATTCCTTTTTCAAAATGCAAATATGGCAAAACAATTCTTTGACTTTTGTGTTACTTCAAAATTAATTAACCCATACATTCCCTAAAGTTAAGCCATGATGTTCCTATCCCTTCTAAATGTGGCCGATTTCAACTAAAAATGGTGACTAAGCATTGGTCAAAATAAATTGAATGATGACCATAAAGTAATTGAGACATCCTTAATTTAAGGAAGTTGTCTTCCCATACTTTGGCTCTTAAGATCAACTATGTTCTTTTGGCTGATCTTGGTCGGATTGTTGTGTAATTTAAAAGTACGACTGATCTGATATGATCTGATTCCAATAAAAATAAGTGGAAGAAAACAAATTCTAAGTCTAGTTTTTTTGTTTTGTTTTCTTATGTAATAATAGGGCGTGTTTTATCCAGGACTGCCTATTTGTTCCTGTTCTCGTTTGAAAATAAGATTTGAAGTTTAAAATGAAATGTAATGCCAATGTTTCTAAAATAGTGTGATACCTATTTTATCCAAATTCCAACTTGTTTATCCCTCTCTATTTTATTCTCGTTTCGAACTCCACATATCGCTCTTACTAAAACTCTTCTTTCATAATAAAAAAAAATGTAACAAATAGAACTCATACACACACCATTCATATTTGAGATGTGGATGATGAAGGAAAACAAGAATAATGATGATGGTGACACCAACAATAGATGGATTCATGTGACAATTTAGACTCTTGGTAGCCATTTGTTGGCTTATACAAATGGTGAGGATAATGAATATGGCCTTTTTGCACCACATGTCATTTCCATTTATTCTGTTACCCAAGGGTGGAGAATTCTTCATAATATTGGTTGGATATCATATTATCATGCAAGCATGCTCCTCTTGCTTATAGTGAGAGCCTAAAAATAACTAAAGAAAATGAAACTAATACTTTTATCTCTTACTTAATTCTCTCTCCGTTCACAAATGAAGTGAAATTGTCCGCTTTTAATTTATGCAAACGAGAAAGAAGTGATACATAAGCCTCACACTTCTTTGCGTAAAAGGAAAGTGCAATTTGAGACACAAAAAAAAGAAAAAGAATAAATATACTAGTAGAACCTTTCGGTGTATTTGTGTGAATGAGATTGAAATTTGTAGAATATCAATAACTTTGAACCACATAAATATGACGAAATTTGATATATGAGACAAACATATAAGCAACTGCAGAAGTGTTACTACACACATTTTGACCAAGATTTCAGCAATCCTTTTGACAAGTATGTATTGAATGCATTTGTAATATATATATATATATATATATATATATATATATATATATATATATATATATGCTGCAACTTAGCAATAAATGCCAAGTCTCATAAATACCATAATTTCTTGAAAATAGGAAGCAGTGGAGTACAACAAAAGAACTCTATTATGCATGATTCCAGACAACACAAAATAGGACTATATACATAACATTAACAAACAAGCAAACAAGAAATTTTTGAAGTGTAAAAAGAAGAACGAGAAAAACCTCCGATTGTTCATTTGAAGGTATGGAACTGGTGTCGAGAGCTCTGATATGAGATGAAACTGGACCCTTTGTGGCAGAAAAGGGTCACTTTGAAAGGCCAAAGTAGAGTTTGTTTTGGTGGAATGAAACACAGATTTGTGCTGCTGCTACAAACACATCCTCAAAGCAGTTTTAGACTTTCACTATAAACTGCAACACACACCCCAGAATGAGCACAGATATTATCAATAACCCTTTTTTCGCGAGTTACCAAATCAATGGAAACAAGGAACTTTGTGATACCGCCGCAATCATCTAAGCACCAGCCACTGATGAGCAAATCACGCTTTAGATTCCAAATCTTCATAGGAAACCATTCAATCCACTTTCTGGAAATGTCAAAAGTCGCTTCTTTATGCCAACCCACATTGTTGCTGTTGTTGTTGTCATTACTTTCTTTCAAAAACCAAACTTCCCATAGATTCTCTCGATGGCAAATCAGAGCAATAATCCCATCCCCTGTCCACACACATTTTCTCCCCCAATTCCCATACCCCCCTCCCAACGGCTTATCGGGCAAACCAACCAACCCAAAAACCTCATCGCCAATGTCAAACCAAAGCAGATATTCTTTGGCTGGCTTTTGGTCTGGGTACATTAGGAGACACCAATAATACTTCCCTCCCAAATAAAAATCAGCAGAGTTATCCACACAAAACTCGTCTTGTATGTGCGGAAACGATTCGATTTGCCTCCATCTCCAAGAATCGCCCACCTGGTTACAAACCAATACAGTTTCACGGGTATCCGGAGATTGATCTGTGGAGCTCCAAACCACCACAACTTTCCCAACCATTTCATTAGAGAACCCAAACCCGAAAGTGAAATCAAGTTTCATAGGGTAATCCTCAGGCGTTTTGATGGAAGGCAGCGCCTTAGTTTCCCTGGTGGACGGATTCCATATCAGAAAATCAAAAAATCGCTCCGAAGAGCTAAACCTATCGAGAACCAGACACAGGACGCCATCGGCGCACTTCACAAACCTCACGAATGGACTCGGCATGTTCAGATCTGCACACCCGATCTCGCCGGAATCCGAATCTCTGTAAACAGAGCTGAATAGTGCGCCGCAAGAGAATCTCGAGGGGGAATCCTCGCAATCGCGCTCGAAAATGACGCAGTCTGTCTTAGCTCTACTGATCTCATAGTGTTTATTGTGGAAATGATGGTCGTGTTTGATCATAGAGTACATGAATTTACACACGCACTTGAATCGGAGAAGAGAATTCACCGGCAATCTTGCGAAGATCTCGATCAGTATCTCCGTCGACAATGGGCAGCCTTCCATTTTCTTCAGTTCTCCGTTGATTCCGATCTGCGCAGGGTATCCACCACCATTGTAGGCCGCGTCGTTAGCATAGCAATTGGCATATAGGAAAACATTTACTCCTATTTTATAAAATTTATTAGAGAAATGCTAGAGTCACAAACATTTCGGTCACAAAATACACAAACTTACCATTTGTACATTTTAATGATTACTTTTAAATTATTCAACATTATTTTATTCACTCAAAGAGGTGCACAAATGGTAAGTTTGTGTATTTTGTGACCGAAGTGTTTGTGACTCTAGCATTTCTCAATTTATTATACACTTCTTAAATATTCAACATACACCACAAAATACGCTCATCTTCTTCATCCTTATTCTTCTCCTTCATACATTTTCTCTTTCTTCCGATTTCATAATCCAACAATATCTAATATCAATTTTATCAACTTTTATTAGTTTTAAGAGGAGGGTTCTCATGATATTGGGAACCAATGTCATGGGATGACCCAGGGACGCTCCGGTGCCCCGTTCGTAAAATTGACGGTTCCTACCCCCTTAACCCCCCCGGTAAACCCCCCACCCTGGCCCGCCCCGAACAAACCCCCCCACCCCCTTCAATTGCACCCCACAAGTCGATTTTGACTTTGGAGTCAAAATTTGACTCCAAAGTCAAAATCGACTTGTGGGGTGCAATTGAAGGGGGTGGGGGGTTTACCGGGGGTAGGAACCGTCAATTTTACGAACGGGGCACCGGAGCGCTCTCGGGTCATCCCATGACATTGGTTCCCAATGTCATGGGAACCAAGGTGTAGTTTTAATTGTAAAAAGTTAAAACTAAACAAAACGCTATGTCGAAAGTACGGTGTCTTTATATATATATATATATACACACACACACGCACACACACAGTATATATTCTGGCACAAGTTAATAGATAGGAAGTACAGAGTATTATTTGATACCGTATAAATGTTTGGAACAAGCTAATGTACGTCGTCCTACCAAAAAGATAATAACTAAATATTCATTCAATATGCATCACACTTAATTATATACGGAGTATATGTTTAACTCTCAAATATATGTGTAATTTAAAACATTTTAAAAATCAAACGCATACGTGAGTGTAATATCCATATTATTAAATATGTTACACATATTGTACACATTTGAAATGTTTTCAAAATATTATCTATCTAATAATATACAATATATGTTTTATTTAAGTATATGTCAAATATTGAAAATGATTGATTGAATAAAGTCAAAACTGAACAAGTATTAGGGACGGAGGTAGTAATTG